GGACACGGCCCTCCGCGTCGGGCTGCTGGGGAAGGAGAGCCTGGAGGGGGTCAGTGTCCTCCGCAGGCGCAGAACCCGTGGGGTCGTGCCGGAGGGACGGTACGGGGACACACAGAGCGACAGACCTCCCTCCCTTGGGCCCCGCTCGGTTCCCCGCACCTCCCCCGGGAGCTGGGCGCCGTGAGGAAAACCCCTGCGCCTGGCCCCAGCCCGGGCCGGCTCCGCTGGGCTGCGGCCGTCGGGTGGTTTCCAATTTTAGTTCTCCAGATCGACTCGTAACTGGCGTTTGTTTGTGGGGGAACGAGCAAAGTGCAGCTCCCCGTTGATGCCTGTCTCCAGCGCTGGCCTTTGGCTAACTGCTTCTCCGCAGAGCTGCCCCTCTGCGTGTAGTATCTGGGGTTTCAGCTGAATATTTGAGCGATAAAATCACCCAAATGCCTTGGCAAAGCTGGCAGTAATCTCCCAGCTATCAGGAGTGAAACCCCCCGTGCTGCTGCCCTGCCACCGCGTCACGCAGAGCTGCTGCGCAGTGTGTCGCAGGCCCGCTGTTTCAAACAAGTGAAAAAGACACTTTGTGCTTTCGGGGGGTAAGATACCTCCTCAGCAGTATTACCTGATACTATTACTGCACTAATATGCTTTTTCAGTCCTGGAGCAATGCACAACTTGGGAGTCAGGAGGCATCCAGAGTTGATAGTATTCACACATACAACTTTAGAAATACACTAATAAACATGAACATTTTCCTTTTATTTAATTAGAACAGTTTTTCTAGCCTAAGCATTTTGCAAACGATTTGCAACTGAATAATTAGTGAAAGGAAATCACTGGAAAATGTAAAATTTAAATCTCACTTAACTGAGTCGAATTAATAAATCCTTAAACGACTATAAAACCTTTGATCATGTTCCTGTTGTAAATAAAGCAAGCACATTAGATTAATACAAACCCTTCTGGAGCCCGTTGCTATTTGTGACACGGTCCAGGCTCTGTTTAGTGTTTCAGGAATGATTTCAATCAGACTGTTCGCTCAGTGGAAATACCAGAAAAGGGAAAGTCAAACTAGTTGGTGTAGACTGGGTTTCTGAGGAGCAGGGACGCTACCATATCTTCCGCGGACTGAGCCTGTCCCGCAGACAGGGATCAGGGCTGCGTTTGGCTGGCTCAGCTGGATGAAGGTTTGGTGGGAGCCCTTGGGGGGTCTTCCCCCTCTTTCCTCCAAGTCTGGCACCCTCTGGGTGAGGCTGGGGGATGGCAGGGGGGGCCCGGGG